CCGTAGACCAGGCTGGCCTGGAACTCACAGAGATGCCCTTGTCTCTGCCTCCCAAGTGCTGGTATTAAAGGCGTGCCCCACCAACACACTACTGTTTTTATAATTTATTTTTATTTCATTTGTATTGGTATTTTGTATGCATATAGTTCTCTGGAAAGCTGCCACATCTTGGAGATACAGACAGGTGTGAGATGCCATGTGGGTGCTTGGGATTGAACCCAGGTCTACAGGTATAACAACCAGTGCTCTTAAATGCTCAGCTACTTCTCCAGATCCAACCATGATAATTAAGATGGATAGATAGGTGGAAAAAGGGAACCCGAGGGAAAGATTTGAGACAGAATGTCTTTACATAGTCAGTCCTGGCTATACTACAGCTCACCTTCCAAACCAAGTTGGCCTCAAACTCACAGAGCCCCTCTAGCCTCTGTGCTGGAATTAATGGCATGGCTTAATTTTTAGCCTGCTTCAGTCACAAATCCTTGCTTAATGCAAGGCATGAGCTACCACACTTTATCTCTGGTTTATTTCCCTTTAATTTGTATTTGTGTATGTCTGCATCATGTGTATGGAGGCCCTTAGTCTAGAAAAGGTTTTGTTTTTTTGTTTTTTTTTTAGTCCCTGGACATAGAGGTATAGGCAATTATGGCATTCAGGCTTTAAAAGGACAAGTAATATGTTCTTTTGTTTGGTGCATAATTTCTATTTTGCCAGTACATGTTTGTATACAAGATGGGCCTAGAAGACCAGAAGATGGACTTGGATGCCTAAGGTCTGTGCTACAAAATGAATTGTGAGCCAGCTGGTGGGAGCTGTGAACTGACCCACCCTTCCCTTGTGAAGGAAGAATTTCTCTGACCCATCTCTCCTGCCCCATAGCATGCAATCTTCAGAGACTGCCATCCGTACTGCAGGCTTTTTTTTTTTTTTTTTTTTTTTTTTTTTTTTTTAGAGACAAGACAAGATCTCTCTGTATAGCATTGGAGCCTGTAATGTTACTCACTATGTAGACCATGAGGGCCTCAAACTAACATAGTTTGGCCTTCCTCTGCCTCCTTGGTCCTGGGATTAAAGGAGTGTACCACCACAACAAAGGCTACTCCCACTACTTTTAAAGTTTTGATGTTTTGCAATGTGAAGTAGTAAAATACACATTAAATATACTTAACAAAAACATTTCATTTAATGAAAAACAATACATGATGAAAAGTTACACAAAGTCCACTATAATGCAGGCTTTTAGCACTCATCTAGAATCTCATCACTCTGGAAGTAGGATGCCTGAACCTGCTGGACACCCTCAGCTGCAAAAGAAAAATCATATGAATATTTTCTACACCACAAATTGACCCAGTAGAGTTGGACAAAGAAAATCCAGAGCCGGGTGGCAATAGCACACACCTTTAATCCCAACACTCAGGAGACAGACCCTGGGAGATCTCTGTGAGTTCAAAGCCAGCTTGGAGACAGAGCCTTGAAGAGCTTTATAAGTTCAAGGCCGGCCTGATTTATGAAGTGTGTTCAACAACAGCTAGAGCAGTTACTGAGAGGGGGGAGAGGGAGAGAGAGAGCATGAGAGAGAGAGAGAGAGAGACAGAGAGGGGGGGAGAGAGGAAGCAGAGAGGAAAGAAAACTCCATGAGGAAGTTCTTTCTCTATCTTTTATTCTCTCATCTACATCCTGACCGTAGTTTCCTATCCCTTCTCTCCTAGTCTCTTTGTGCTACCCTCACCTCTCTGTCTGATCCACTCCTCTTCTGCTTACCTTCAAGAAAGAGCATGCATCCCAGGGGTGACCACCAAATTTGGCATAACAAGCTACAGTACGTAGGCTCCTTGACTGTCAGGCCTGTCTCTGTGAGCCCCTGTGTGCCCTGTTATTTGAATCTGTGGACCATGTTCTTATGGTGTCCTAGATCCCTCTGCCTCCTACAACACTACTCCCCCATTATGCAGGAACTGCATATGGAATTTCTTTCTACTACTTTCTGTCCAAGATCCCCCTCAAACCTCTACTCACTTTACCCCCTCACATCCAGAAGACCCTCCCACACTGTGGCACCATCTTGGATCTGATTGGGGACCTCTTTCTTTATTGGACAGATGTATGGATGCTAGTTTCCTAAGGAGCTTATAAACTAACAGAGACTTGCCCAAAGCATGGGACTCTGGTACCTTTGGGGGCCGAACCCAGATAGAAATTGGCCTCCAGTTACTGCTGTCTTTTGCAGGAAATGCGGACTCAACTCAGCTTGTTGCCCAGGGGTCTTCCAAGCTCTTCTTAATGGCGTCAACCAGTCTTTCTATCATGTTTGTTTGCTTCTGTGACTTCCCTACTTCTTTATTCGTTTCTTTTTCTTCCTTGCTTGTTTGCTGACTCTCTTCTTCCTCTTATTTATTAATATCCTACACTTTTCATTGTGTAGTTAAGACAGGGTTTCTCTATATAGCCAAGGTTGTATGTTTTCTCACTCTGGAGATATGACAGGACTCCAACTCATAGAGATACCACTGCCTCCGCCTCCTTGGTGCTGAGATTGACCTCCCCATCTTGATTTTGAAGGGCCTGCTCAGACTCAGATGTTCTTGTCTGTCACTCCACACAGTCCATCAACCTGGGTCATATAAGGCCTCACCTCATTCTGGTAAACACATTTAATGGATTTCCAAGGAGTTGACCCCAAACTCCTGGGAAGATTACAAGCCTAGGCCTGGTGGTGGCTTAGGTTCTGTTCACAGGTTTCACCTCGCTAAAAGGATATTCAATAGACTGGGATGGTGCCTTTTTGTGAAGAACTGTCCTCCCTGTAATCAGTCCCATGTAAAATTCAGTGTGCTTACGGGGACCCAGCCACTCCCACATGTGGAAAAACAGAATCTCTGACTGTTCTTTGCTTGTTCATGAAGTCTGTGTCAGGGAGCACATTCCGGGAAGCATTCTTGCCATGGACAGGTGATTTAAATTAACTACTAAATCAAATGCAAATTCAAGCAGGCAGGGCCAGTTGAGGATCAGCGATTGTGTGTGTGTGTGTGTGTGTGTGTGTGTGTGTGTGTGTGTGTGTGTGTGTATAATCCTAAAATCAACCCCCAACATTGGGTGATAAAGAAGAAAATAATAGCAGGGAGGTGGTGGTCCACGCCTTTAATCCCAGCACTCTGGAAGCAGAGGCAGACAGATCTCTGTGAGTTCAAGGCCAGCCTGGTCTACAAGAGCTAGTTCCAGGACAGCCTGCAAAGCCACAGAGAAACCCTGTCTCAAAAAAAAGAACAAAACTGGAAATTAATTGACAATATTACTGCATATCTTTTGTTGTGTGTATTTGGTCACAAGCATGCCAGGGTAAGAGAAAACATGTGGAAACTGATTTTCACATTGTGAATCATGAAAATAAAACTCAAGTCCTCAGGATTGATGACAATGCCTTTAATTGTGCAATCTCCCAAGCTTCAGACCTCTTGAAGCGTTATGTCTCCAGGAAGAGTAGAGACGGATGCTGGGTTTCTCATTTGGACTACAAACTTAAAACATGTGGCCTGTAGGAACCTCCAAAATAATGTTTGTTATCTTTTGACCATGACAGTAGTTGGTCCCATTTAATGCTTCTACACAGGATGGTAAAGGATACATGTATTACCTTCAAAGTGTAGACAGGAGGATCAGGTCTTGAAGGACATCCCTGACTACACAACAGCTATAAAGACTGCCTGAATTTCAGGAGACCATGCTTCAAAATAAAAAAAAAATCAATAAACAACATACTAAATTTCTAGTGAGTATGAAAGGATGGAAAATACAGTCTAACTCTCCAATGACCCCAGCAAGCTAGAAGTTTAAAAATACTATGTAAAAAGCCCTAAAAACCTCAAATTCCAGACCCTGTCCTCTGCCAGTAAATAGGCAAGGTCACACTCTTTGCTGCTTAAGACATACAGGCCCTTGAATACGTAATCCTGGCCTACTGAGATAACAGAAAATGAGCTGACAAACCGCTTATCTGACGTCGGTAAACTGCTTGTGAAACCCTCACCCCCAGTGGCCTATGTGTGGGCTTTGTTGTAAACCCTATAAGAACTGTCTCAATTCTGCATTTGGAGTCCTCAGTCCTCTACCCCTGCGTGGCGTATGACTGTGGACCCCAGTGCACTTGGAATTAAAATTCCTCATGCTATTTGCATCAAGACCGCTTCTCGTGAGTGATTTGGGGAGTCACCTTTCCTGAGTGGGAGCGTGAAGGGCCACACTCTGCGAGTCTTTCATTTGGTGCATTGGCTGGGAAACTGCGACCACCCCTCACACCGGAGAACCAACTTGGAGGTAAGGGTATCCCCCCTGGTGCGTGCGTGCGTGCATGTGTGTGTGTGTGTGTGTGTGTGTGAGCCAGCGTCTCTGTTCTGAGAAAAGAAAACCCCATGAGGAATATTTTACTCCTTTTATTTTCTCTTCTCTCATCTACATCCCAACTGCAGTCTCTGCTCCCTCCTCTCCTCCCAGTCCCTTCACCCCACCTCACCTCTCTGCCTGATCCTCTTTGGTTTACCTTAAAAGGCAGCATGCCTCCCAGGCATAACAGCCAAACACAGGCTCCTTGCCTGTCAGTCGGGTCTCTATTAGCCCCTATGAGGCTTGTTTCTGAATCTGTGCACCAGGTTCTTACGGTGACCTTGACTGCTCTGCCTCCTACAGTCCTTCTCTCCCCATTCTCCAAGATTTGCATGTGGAATTTCTTTCTACTTGCTGTCCAAACCCTGAGTCATCAGGAGAACCCATTTCCATAATAGGTCATATTCAGCAATATCTTGGCCCTTGTCTGAATACCACCTCTTTTTTAATACACCAATTTCTTGACCTAAACCAAGGGTTCTTAATATAGGGATGAGGGGGGCTGGGTATGGCAAAGATGTATCACCAGGTAAATAAGAGTGACCAAACTTCAAGGACTCTTAGGCAGAGCTCCTCAGTAGAAGACCCTGAGCATTGAGCATCCTTTGGGAGTCAGACTACAGCGGACAGTCAGAACTGGAGCTTGGGTGGAGGCTGTACCGTCGGCTCCTGCTGAAAATCCCTTGTAGCTTCCACAACTTTGGTTTTGAAGTTGCTACTTCTATGGGCCTTGGCCATCCATAAGCTGCCTTGGGACTAAGTCTTGTACCCTCACAAGCCTGAACACCATGGAGAAACATTTCAAAGAGTTTGGGGATGGAATTCTTCTCCCTGGGTGTGATGGGACTCTCATAATCTACAATGGCAGACGCAGAGATAGATAAGCATCCTCCACTTATCTGGGGTGAGAGATATTCTGGAGTCAGGATATAACTAAAAGTCTGTTAGACAGCCTATGTGCCCAAATCCTCACAAATCCATTGCCAGACCTGCTCAAAAGTTGATATGAGCATTTTAAATCTTTTTTCCTTGGCCTTCAGCTGTGGTGTGAACTGGATCAAGCTTCCTGGCAGTATCTTGAGGCATCTGGAAACCTGTTTCCAAATGTGAACACAGTTGGAAATCTGGATTCAGTTTGGGAACCAGGGGGATATGGGGGATTAAGATCCTTGGATTTGACAATTTTTTTAAAGATATGTTTACTAATTTATGTATACACTCTTCCATCTGCATGTGTCCCTGTAGGCCAGAATAGCGTAACGGATCTCACTGCATATGAAACTTTTAAGTTTGAAGAGGTCCCATTTATTAATTGTCGATCTCAGTGTCTGTGCTACTGGTGTTACGTTCAGCAAGTGGTCTCCTGTTCCAATTTGTTCAAGGTTACCTCCCACTTTCTCTTCTAAGATGTTCAGTGTCTGGATTTATGTTGAGGTCTTTGACCCATTTGGACTTGAGTTTTGTGCATGGCGATAGATATGGGGTCTGTCTGCAGCTTCTGTAAGGCAAAGAACACAGTGAAGACCAAACGGCAGCCCACAGACAGGAATAAGATCTTCACCAACACTACATCTGACAGAGGGCTGATGTCCAAAATATACAAAGAACTCAAGAAACTAGTCACCAAAACACCAAATAACCCTATTAAAAATAGGGTACAGAACTGAAGAGAGAATTCTCAATAGAGGAAATAAAATAGGCTGAAAGAAATTTAAGAAAGTGCTCAACATCCTTAGCTATCAGGGAAATGCAAATCAAAACAACTTTGAGATAGCATCTTACTCCTGCCAGAATGACTAAAATTAGAAACACCAATGACAACTTATGCTGGAGAGAATGTGGAGAAAGGGACACTCCTCCACTGCTGGTAGGAGTGCAAACTTGTACAGCCATTTTGGAGATCAGTATGGCGGTTCCTCAGGAAAATGGGAATTAGTTTACCACAGGACTCGGCAATCCCCCTCTTAGGCATATACCCAAATGATCCACATCCATGCAACAAAGACATCTGTTCAACTTTATGCATAGCAGCATTATTTGTAATAGCAAGAATCTGGAAGCAACCTAGATGACCCTCAACTAAAGAATGGATAAAAAGGAGGTGGCACATTTACTCAATGGAATACTACTCAGCAGAAAAAAAAAAAAAAAAAAACAATGGAATCTTGAAATTCGCAGGCAAATGGATGGAACTCGAAAAAACCATCCTGAGTGAGGTAATCCAGTCACAAAAGGAGAAACATGGCATGTACTCACTCATATATGGATTTAGATATAGAGCAAAGGATCACCAGCCTATAATTACACCGCCAGAGAAACTAGGATACAAGGAGGAACTTAAGAGATTCATACAAACTCCCTCACAAAAGAGGAAAGGAACAAGATCTCATGAGCATATTTGGAGTGTGGGAGCAGTGAGTGGAGAGGGAGCTAGGAGAAAGAGAAGGGGAGGAGAGGAGAGCTTGTGGGACTAGGAAGATTGAGTCGGGGTGGAATAGATGAGAGAGAGAGAGAGATGCCATAAAAGAGGGAGCCATTAATTATAGGTTTGAAAAGGAAGGTGACCCTAGAAAAATGTCCAGAGACCTACAAGACAGACCCCCCACTAACAATCTGAGCAACAGAGGAAAGACTACCTTAAATGCCCCTCATTGATGATGAGATCAGAGAATGACTAACTTATACAGCATCGTGGAGCCCTCATCTAGTAGCTGATGGAAACAGAAGCAGACACCCACAGCTAAACACTGAGCCAAACTGGAATCCAGATGCAGAGAGGGAGGAAAAGACCAGGATACAGAAACACACAGAGAAAGCTGACTTGAACAAGGAGGAGCTAACGGCCCCCAGACTGATAGCTGGGAAACCAGCATTGGACAGACGTAGACCCCCTGAACATGGTTTCAGTTAGAATACCTGGGCAGCCTAAGGGACCTCTGACAGTGGAACCAGGATGTATCCCTGGTGCACGAAAGGACTTTGGGAGCACATTCCCCATGGAGGGATACTCCCTTAACCTAGAGGCAGGGGGGAGGGCCTAGTCCCTACTCCAAATGACTTGACAGATTTTGTTGACCCCTACTGGAAGGCATCACCCTCCCTGTGGAGTGGGGGGGGGAGACATGGGAGGGAGGGAGGAAGAAGGAACTGGGAACGATATGTAAATAAGCATAAATAAATAAATAAATAAATACTGCAGCTGAGTTGCCTGCAAAAGAATGGCACAAGCTGAAGCCAGTCAAAAGCCAGCACGGTGGGCTGGGGACAGGGCTCCATAAGCCTTATTCCTATCGATAAGGCTCTCTCCGAAGCTCTTGGTGACTGACAGCTGCTGACGGAGAGAGTTGCTTTCCTTTGGGAAAAGGGAGCTGTTGGTAAGTTGTTCATACCCGAGTGTACGGCTCTGCACTTATGCACACCTATACACACTTGGTCGGCACTAATTGGACTCGGAGATTATTATTCCTAATCATTAAAGGACCTGAAGTTCTGAAGGGGCTGTCGTCAACCTCTCTGTCAGCCCAATGTCCCAGGTGAAGTTCAGTGCCTCTAATCAGCGCACTGCACCCATGCTCAGAGGCCAGAAGATGTTGGGAGGTTTCTCTTACCACTCTCCACCATTGTGCTGAGACAGGATCTCTCTCCAATCCCCAAGTCCACTGTTTCTGCTAGACTGGATGGCCAGCGGGCTCCTGGGGAAGGGGCCCCAGCCCACCGGAGCTTGTGGCTCTGACAGGCCTTGCCCTTCTCCCCCATCCCCTCTGCCTTGCTAAAAGACCATCAGAATAATTCCTAAAGCTATCCGTCAAAGTCTAGTCCATTATTTGGCTGCTTCCTCCTCCCGAGGCTGACTGCCAAGGTCCAGCTGTGGAAGTATTGAAGTCCAGCAATCAAAAGTCCCCCTTTGGCTCACCTAATTAACATGTCCAGTTAAAATTAAACACCTTGTCCTAACATGAGTTTCCCTGTCTGCCTTTGTAATCTGCCATTTGTGTATGGGCCACATCTGTCTCCTCTCTATCCAGTCCTTTGTCCCGCTGGGATTTATCCCTGCATCCTCTGCCTTGTTCCCCTTACCCTCTCCTTTGTCCCCTTTCCGTTGTTTGTCTTACTTATTCCCAGTTCTCTGTCCCTCTGGGTCAAATAAATGTCTGGTCTTGGCGCGTCCTGAGCCAATCCTTCTCCTTTCCCATGGTTCGTCTCCACTCCCTGGCTCTGTACACCATGCATGCCATGCCCAGATTTTTATCTGAGTGCCACAGATTTGAACTCACATTCTCTCATTTTCACACCACGTGCTATTACCCACCACTCCCTGGTGCCTGGTCCCTTTTCTATTGACCTCTGACTTAGGGTGCAGGTGGACAGGAACTTGTTGAAGAATGTTAACTGCTTCCTGCAGGGGTTGGTGTGGACATCCCATCAGGGCACCTGCCCATTCTTTCATTGCCCTCTGCCACTGCCATCCCCTAATATCCTATAATCTTCTTTTCTTGTCTTGAAAGATGCATAGTGTCTGTGTGTGTCTGTGTCTGTGCATGTCAAGTGTGATGCCCGAAGTGGCCAGAAGACGGCATCAGATCAGTGGAACTAGAGTTGTGAGACGCCTATTGTGGGTTCTGGGAATTTAACCCCCTCCATCCCTCGGTGGCTGAGTCATTTCTCCAGCCTCATTGGCTGTCTCTGTAACTGAATTAACTCTGTATCTTTAGTTACCTTAGGGAGACTCGTATCTGAGAAGATTGCAGGGCTGTAAACACCAGTGATATGCATAACGCCAAATACTGGATATAACCTAACCACTTGGAAAACAGGTATGAAAATCAAGTGTCTGGATTCATCTACATTCTGCACGTCAGGTCCAAAACCAGGGGAGGGGGTTAACACATGCATCAACCTTTTCCTCCTCTATTAGGGCTTTGAGTATTTTGTACAATGTATTTTGATCATACTTGCCCTCTCCCCTAACTCCTCCCAGGTCCAGCCCTCCCTTCCAGACTCTAAGTAGTTTCATCTGAAGCTAAAATCTGCCATCTTGGAGAGAATCTTCCTAAGACACCGGATGCAGAAGTGAGGTGTAAACAACAGGATTTTTAGGACAGGATTTTTCTAGGAAGTGAAACAAGAGTGTGTCCCAAGAGGAGCTGAAACCACTCCAGCCAGGAGGAATTCCTTAACATAGGAAGTGAATAACTCAAGATAGCTCCAGAAAGTCCCACCAAGCCAGGCAACTTCCTGTTGTCCACATACCATGTAGAACTGTCAGCTACCTCTCCAGCCTGATGTCTGCCCACTTGCCGCCATTTCCCATTAGGACACTGGACTGGATCTCTGAACCGTAAGCCAGCCACCCCGTTGAAATGTTTTCCTTTATAAGAGTGGCCGTGGCCATGGTGTCTCTTCACAGCAATAGGAACTCTAAGATGCTGCTCTTACAGAGGATGTAAGTTCAGTTCCCAGCACCCATGTGAGACAGCTCATGACTGCCTGTAACTCCAGCCCCATGGGATCACACACCTTCTTGTGGCCTTTGTAGGAATCTACACTCATGTGCACATACCCACCAACCCCCCCAACACACACATGCACACGGATATGCAAGGAAACACTCGCATATAAGCAAATGGGAATATGTAGATCAAATTCAGCTCTCACTCTGTTTTTGTAAATAATTTTTATTTCAAAACACACAAATATTTGTATAAAAGTACAAAATAACCAATGTATGCATTAACATTTGAGAATTGAAGCCAGTAGAATTGCTAAATGCGTAAATTATTATTTAATGCAAAACACAAACAGCAACAGTTTCTATTATGTGAGTGAGTGTCGGGTATAGGCCCTCCTGCTAAAGATGTCTTACACATAGCCAATTGAAATTTCCTCCAACAACCTTCTAGGGTTCCACTATTGCCTATATATCCATTATGTCTCCAGTAATCCACCAACAGGCAAATCTCATTTTAAGAGATTTCTGAAGCATTTAAAGATAAAATGCTTTCTTGGGTGCTTAACACACCAGTGACGGAAAATGTCATTATAACACAGTGATTTCTAGCATGTAGGTCTTTGAATGCTCTGCAAATAAAAAGTCACATCTATCTGATGAAACATCTGGATGGGAAAGGCACAAAGAAATCCTATCTCACTGGAATGTTAGCGATCTGTTAATATATACAAGAGGGTCAAAAATAAAAAACCATTCTTCTGGAGGTTGTTTGGGCTGGCTCAGAACACATCCATGTTTCTTGCACTGGGATGTCCACTCTCCTTTTCTGCTCCAGCTTACGCACTGCTTACGATGGTCAAGTAGGGATTTTTCTCCTCCTCAGCAAGCAGAAGCTCCTGGGTTTCCTTATCAAAGTCGGTAATTCGTAGCCTGGAAAGACATACAAAATGGACAGCTCTCAATTCGTTCCTCTAAACGTTGAAAGTTTTCTTATTTAAGTGTGTGCTGTGTGAATGTATGTGCAGTAGATGTGTGCCAGCACCTGGGGAGACGAGATAAGTTCATCGCATCCTCTGGAACCATGATTACAGCAATTGTGAGCTGCCCTGGTAGGTGCTGGGAACTGAAGCCGAGTCCTCTGTAAGAGCAGCAAATGCTCTTAACTGACGAGCCATTGCTCCAGCCTCTCACACGTCCTTCTTGTGCCTTCCAACGTCTCCTCTTCCCTCTACAACTTTTCTTTTCCAAGGTCAAGTTCAGGAGACCCTGATGTTGCCTCTAAATGGGGAGGCATGCCCACACTCTCCAGATTCCTCTACAAGAACGGATTGGGAACTGGACGGATGGCTCAGTGGTTAGGAGCACTGGCTGCTCTTGCAGAGGACCTGGGTTCAGTCCCATACAGGATGGCTGACAACCACCTCTAACTCCATTTCCAGGGGACCTGACACCACCTTCTTGCCTCCAAGCCTACTACTGCATGCATGCGGTACACAGACATACATACAGGCAAAATATCCACACACAGAAAAATAAAAAAGGGAAAAACTTTTTGTTGCCTGTGTTTGTGTGTGCACACGCACACCTGCCAGAGGTCAGTGTCAGGTGTCTTCAACTGTTTCTCTCCGTATCTTGTTGAGACACGCTCTCTGTCTGAACATGCCATTGGTGAACCAGCTGGCAGTGAGCTTCAGAGAGCCCCCTGCCTCCACCCTTCTCCCCAGCACTAAAGTTATAGACACATGAGACCATGTTCCGCTATTCAATGTACAGTTGACATCCAAACCCAGGTCCTCAAGCTTCTGCTTCAAGCAGTTTACTCTACTGAGCTTCCCATCAAAGCTCTTACCTTGGCCATTTCTGTGGTGTGAATTCAATGACCCAACTGTGGTCTGTTCCAATATGATGTCAACACCCAGAATAGTGGTAGGAAGCACTGATTGCATCTAAGCCTTGGGTTTTGGATAGCAGATGTGTGAAAGGCTTGAGGGTTTTTATTTCCTTCAAACCCAAAAGAACAACTCTTTCCATGATCTGAGTGTCTGGTCTTAGCCCTTTGGTTAACTGTTTCTCATGCATGTAAATGCACACACACACACACACACACACACACACACACACACACACACACACACACATATACATCCTGGTTATGGTCTTTGTTTTGCTTCTGTATTAATGACTTTTCTACTATTGTGACAAAACGCCATGACCAAAGCAATTACAGCAGGAAGGATCTATTTGGGCTGACAGTTCCAGAGCGGTAAGTGTCCATCACCATTGCGGCAGGGAGATTGGCAGCAGAGCAAGGAACTGAGTGCACATCTTGAACCAGGAGCGGGAAGCAGAGAAAGCATACTGGGAATGGTACAGAGCTTGGCAAGAACAGGGCCTGGCCCAGTGACACACCTCCTCAAGCAAGGCCACGCCTCCTAAACCTTCCCAAACAGCACCATCAACCAGGAACCAAGCATTCAAACATCTGAGCCTCTGGGACTTTCTCATTCAAAAACATCACATTTTGTGTATTTTACGTTTCAAGCGGCTTTGTAGGAGGCAACCATGTTCTTAGGGCATACATTAATTGCTGTACTAGTCTCTCTGAGACTTTCCCTGGTGGTGTAGGAGGGCACTACGAAGCAACAATGATCATGGCAGCACCACCTTACTTGGTTTTGTAATATTTACCACATTATCTGACACCTGTGTATTTCTGAATTTGTCAGGCCACGTAACGACTCTTACTTTACAGATCAAAGTCCGATACTCAGAGGAACTGGTGCCTTGCCCAGGGTGCAGCGTGAACAGGGCCGAACTGGTACCAAATGCAGAGCTGGGTGGCTCAGAAGACTGCAGATGACTCTCTCTTTCTACCTCATTAGACATCCACTCCAGCTTGGTACCTTCTCAACACATAGCCAAAACCAAGTGAAAAGAAATCTCAACCTACCCAGGGATGTGGGGGTATTTGCAAGACTAAGTCTTTTATTTTTCCAAGACTGATTCTCTGTGTAGCCCTGGTTGTATGGAACTGGCTTTGTAGACCAGGCTGGCCTCAAACTCACACAGATTTGCCTGTCTCATCCTCACAAATGATGGGATTAAAGGCGTGTGCCTACACTGCCCAACCGCAAGAGTAAATCTTAAGAAAGTGAGCCTGCATATTCACAGAAGAGATAGCCGGGGTTATAAGCATTTTAATCCAACACCTGGTAGGCATATTCAGCCTGGGGCCCATGAGCCAAAATTATATATTTACCCAAAATGGTTAGATTGTTTTTTTTTTTTTTTTTTTTTTTTTTTGTAAACCAACTGCAGTTTTTGAATGGTAACTGTGTATGTGTGGCTATATTGCCATGTCAAAAGGTTTGACACCCCATGAGGTTTTGATTTTTCTAAAAGAAATAGTGTAATAACAACTGAAAATGAACCTGATCTTGGGACCTGGGGAGTCAGCTTTCCCAGGAAAGTGTTTGCTATACAAACCCAAGGACCTGAGGTTAATCCTTAGCCCTCACATAAAAAGCTGTGAACACACAAACACGCCTGTGGTCCAAGAAGCAAGGAAGCAGACTGGCAGGTTCCTAGGTCGTGGCAGCCTACCACCTTAACAGAACTGGTTAGCCCCATGTCCCAGTGGATGGCGTGGGGTCTCCATGCTCACATATGCACAATCCCCACACACCTGAAACCCAAACTCACCTATATACTTTCACAAAAGATACCTTGATCTATATAGGATTGAAGACCATGAGGGGGAGAAATAAATCACAAACATAAATGCTGAGGATTATAACAAAAGAACATATCATATTTATAAATATCTTATGCTGATATAAAGTAGTCTGAATATATTTATTTGATATATATTTGTATGTTTACATCAAATGTTTACATGACAATATACACCTTTATGCTCAATATCATTAATATAATATAAACCTTTATGCTCAAGCAGACCATCCTAGCTCATTTAGTCTATCTTAAATATTCTCCGGGCACCCACGTTAATCTCCAGATAGGCAAAAAAATAAATAAATAAAACAAACAAAACAAAAACACCTTTGACATCACCCATCACAAAGCCCAGCTTATATTAAGACGTCGATTATCTCATGCAATGATCGCCTACCCTGATGAAAGAGGAAAATGAATGGCTGAAAGGGGATGCCTTCATATTGTGGAGCCGAAAAACTCAAGTCAGGTCTGCCTGCATAAATGTAAGTTATATCTACATTTATGTCGACGCGTTATTGCTTTAGTCATGATAGTAGCAAATTTCACCAGTTCTTGTCACTCACAAGTCACAGGACAAGGAGCAGCTTTACACTTAATCTACGACACCTGATACAACAGCCCCCAAGTGAGAGAACACTAGTTGAATTTGTTTTTGATTAGAATTTTTAAATTATTTCATGGCATCTCCTCCCCAGATAACAATTAACTGCCCAGTCCCTCAGTAGGAGTAGGGGTGCAAGACAAGATATGTCTACTGCTGTAACAGGGGCATGGTTCTCATCGGAGTGACCAAACACCGTGTGTGTGTGTGTGTGTGTGTGTGTGTGTGTGTGTGTGTGTGTGTGTGTGTGTGAACATGCAGACGACAGAGGTCCATGTCAGGTATTACTCTTGACTTTTGAGATGGAGAGGCCTCTCAATTGGCCTGGAACTCAACAATTTGACCAGACAGGATGGTCACTGAGCATTAAGGATCCTCCTTCCTATTACTTCCTTCTCTAATACCGAGATTACGGGTGTAAAACCCATGGTTATTTTCATGTAGCCCCTGGTAAGAAAATCCGGTCTTCATGCCTGTGTGGCAAGCACTCTATACACTGAGTCATCACCCCAGATGCACATTTCAGATCTCAGTCTAACCCTCCTCAGCCCCACAGCTCTTCCCATTAAGAAACACAGAGGCCAGCTCACCCAAGTACATGCAGCGTACACCTGTGATGTTTCACAGCCTCGCACAGCATAGCCAGCCCACGGCGGTCCAAGGCGTTCTGCCTCAGGTTGATTGCCCACAGGGTTTTATTCTGGCTAAAAATGGAAGCCAGGTCCTCACAACAGGCCCCAGTTAGCTCACAGCCTTCCAACCTGCAACAAAAAGAACAGTTCCACGTCACGGCTGAAGGCGGCATATAACGGGTGAGATGTAAGGTGGTCATTTAGCCGACACTCATTCCATACCCTCCATACCATCTCTTAAAAGCCCAGTGTCCATGGCATCACATCCCCTTCTCTGGCAGATGTGACCACACCTGCCCTTTCTCTATATCCATGTCTGTGGTGAATGAACTACCGTTCCACCAGGTCTGCTATCCCAGCCCTTGAACCTGGGGTGAAACTGTAGCTGGCACTGGGTAATACAGTGAAGGGTTGGTGAGCTCTGAGACTACACCTCAGGACACCTTAATACCTTTTGCTTTTAACCCTTGAAGACTCCTTTTGCTATGAACTAAACTATGTCCCTCAAAATGCATATGTTGAGGTGCGAAGCACCTGTGTCTCCTGGGACTGGATTCTGAGACAGGACCTTTACAGAAGAAACTACGTTGCAATGACGACAATAGGGTGGGATCTAATCTTGTACAACTGAAGCCTCAGGGAGAAGACAGCCATTTTCAGGTCAGTGAGGGGACTAGTCTTGGTCCCCTAAAGCCGCCCTGCTGAGGGCACAGCGTCATCTCATGTCTAGCCTCTGCAATAAATCTCTGCTGCAAGAGTCACTCGGTATGTGTTTGTCACTGCAGACAAAACAGTTGCCACATCAGTTAGTCCAGACACATAAGTCAAAGAGACATGGGCTAGTCACACTAGTCATCTCCAGTGGACATCTATCCATGCATCCACCCAACCACCTATGCATGCAGCCACCATCCATCTATGTTCCTGCCTTGTAATAGCTAACTATCCTATACATGCTTCAGTCCATGAATACCATACATCTATTCCTGCAGTCCTCAATCAGCCATCTATTTACCCACCTAACCACCCACCCAATCATCTATACACTAATACAGCCAAATATGCACCCATCCATATAATAACATCAACCCCATGCATGTAACCGTCAATCATTCCCCCATCTATGCAGTCATTCATCTACCCATCTTGGCATCTATCTGCACATCCATGTATCCATCTTGGCATCCATCTGGGTATCCATGTATCTATGCTGTCCATCTATACATCCATGCATGCACCATTCGCTTATCCTGCCTCCATTCCCAACAGAGAGGCTGCCCCACATCACACGCTTCTGGATGATCATGTTTTATAAGTACGTCCAGTTGAGATAAGTTTTATAAGAATGCCCAGGCTCATTGCTTCCAGTCTTGAGGTTTTGAAGTGCCTTATTAATACAACCACTGCTAACAGTATGCTGTCCCCACGGAGTTTTAATTTCTCTGTCTGCACGTTAATCTCCCACCTTTCATCACCCTCAAGGACACAGCTATGACCTTGATGACACCCACCCAATATTCTCTAAGTGGCAGTTGGGTTGTTTGATAGCATCGCACAGCAGCTTCACTCCAGCGTCTTGAAGCTTATTGTTGGAAATCTGGAGGCTTCTCAGGTTCTGGTTGATGCTGAGGACTTCAGCCAGGTCTTGGCAGCCACTAGTGGTGATGAGGCAACGTCGCAAACTGCAAGAGACAAGTCATAATACACTGGTTACTCCTTGACCCAAAGAGGAGGTCTTACACAAGACTCAGTGATGCCCAAAACTGCAGAAAGCAATGAGCCCTTCGGATAACATCATCTCCTTAATGGTCCACAGAGGACAACAAAGAAACCCAGGCATGCTAAGATACTAACAGTGATGGGGCAGATCAAATACAACACATTGTAATAAACGCTAAAACGGGACTGGAGAGATGGCTCAGAGGCTCAGAGCACACTGCTCTTGCAGAGGACCCAGGTTTGGATGCCTGAACCCATGTCAGGCAGCTCACAGCCACCTGTCACTCCAGTTCCAGGGGATCTGATTCCCTCTTCCAGCCTCCTTGGGTACTTTTACGCCCATGGCACACACATACATACACTCAGAAGTGCACACATAAAATGCAGTAAAGAAATCTTTTTAAAAGTTGGAATAAGGGGCTGGAGAGATGGCTCAGAGGTTAAGAGCACTGGCTGCTCTTCTAGAGGTCCTGAGTTCAATTCCCAGCAACCACATGGTGGCACACAATCACCTGTAATGAGATCCGGTGCCCTCTTCTGGCATGTGGGCAGACATGCAGGCAGAACACTATGCATAACTAATAAATAAATCTTGAATAAAGTAGAAGCTGGAACAATATTATATTAAATGATACTTTTGAGCAGTGATTGAGTATGGAAACGGAGCGGGTGTACTGACTATGGGTAACCCAAACCATGGATAAGGCGGGCGTGGGGGCGCCTACCGTGTGGCTTTCACGGTTCCTCCACACTCTGCATCAAGGGACGAAAGATGGCTGGCATTGGAGCCTTCGCCACCCACAGGGAAAGGTAGCTGACTAGGAACCCTTGCTGAAGCCTGCTGTTCCCTGAACCATCTTCCATCCACTTGTTTTTTATGAACCCCAAGGGGATGAGCTTGCTTCTGAGGGGCCCACTTCTGACTTCTCAAATTTCTGTGTGAATGGACCAGTTAAAAATAACTTCATCTGCAGGCTTTCACAGAGGCCAGCAGAGATGCTCAGAGCTCCTGGGGCTGGGGTTACAGATGGCTGTGAGCCGCAGGAATGGAAGGGACTACAGTCAACCTTGTTTTGGAATGGGGTGGAAATTTCATCTCTATCATTGAATGATTCATGTAATTATTTTATTCTGGTATTTGGGATTCAGGGTAGGACCTAGCGCATGGAAGGCAAACACTGTCACTGGGCTATTACCCTAACGTTCTTGTTACTTTTGAATTGGAGACGGGGTTCCCTAATACATTACAATTTTCTAGTCTACCCTTGAAATCTTCTCACGTCTCTTGGAATTTATGAGCCTCTCTCTCTCTCTCTCTCTCTCTCTCTCTCTCTCTCTCTCTCTCTCTCTCTCTCTCTCTCTCTTTCTCTTTCTTATTTTTTGAGACAATGTTGTTCCACGGACCTTTGGAGCCTATCCTTGTAAATCACTCTGTAGTCCAGGATGACCTTGAACTCAGATCCACATGTCTCTGCATCCTGAGTGCTGGGATTAACGGTGTGTGCCAATACCGCCCAGCTCTAGATACTTTTAAAATATATTGTATCTGACATTTTTCAGTGGTTTTTACTTTCTAAAAATAGCCAAAGTCATCATTAGAGGAAAACAATCCCCATGTTCCACTTTTATGTTTTCATTCTGTTCCTCAATCCTTTGTAGGGAGGATAAAAATGGGACTGAGGTGCCACAACAGAGTAAGTAAAACTGTTCTCCCAAGTCCCGCATGAAAGCCATTTGATCCTGGGACACTAATCCACGTGGCATGGTCAGAATAACAACCACTCTAAATTACCCCAACACCTCTCAGTTTTATAACCTGAAATGAGAGAGGTCTGCCACCTCTCTCCCCATTACTGTTTATCCCTCCCACATTAACCAGTCCACACAGGGTTCTGGGTCCCCTCTGCCCTGTCTTATTCTATCTTTGGGGTTGCGATGTCTCCCTATAGGCTCACTGTTTAAACACTGGGTCCCCAGGTGGGGGCGCTGTTTGGGGAGGTTATGGGGGCTGTGGAATACTGGGGTCTCACAGTTGGTTGTGGGCCACTGGGTGTGGGCTTAAGGGTCCTATCACTATCCCTGCTCTTGGTTCTACTCGATGCTTCCCAATCCACAAAGACGTGAAGGATTTTACACACTCCTGCCACCACCAGGACACTCTGCCGTGCTGTTTTTCTCCACCAGGAGAGATTAGAACATTCCATCCCATAACCTACAATGAACCCTGATTCCTTAAGTCCCTTCTGTTCAGTATTTTATCACAGTCATGGTGACAAGAAAAACTAAGAATACGACCTTCTATCCACAATTGGGGTCCAGGTTTCCACCTGATGATATTCATCTCCTAGCACCTGCTCCAAACATCTCAACCATCTCTTGGACACAAGTCATGATTCCTTTATTTCTCTCAGTCCCTTGTGTCTATATTCTGGGTGGCTGCCCACAATGTACCAAAACCTCGACACAGAGGTCAAGGTATCAAATTGTCCTTGGGAAAGGCTCATTAGGTACTTGAGGTGAGTAAGCCTAATCTCCATAATCTTGGTTACAGACAGATATTAAGGATCTCTAGACAGGGCCTCCAATGTCAAGCACAAAGAAACCTACAATAGTGACTTCAGGACACTGTCCGGGAGACTCAGAGCCTTGCAGAGAACCTTCAGTCCTTTGTCCTTAACGTCATTGGAGCTGATGTCTAGGTGAGTCAGGGTTTTGTTCCGTTTAAGAACATCAGAAAGGTAATCCCAGCATTTCTCACTGAGGGAGCAGTTGGCCAACCTGTGGGAGGGAAAGTCAGGCATGTGAATGTGTGTGTGTGTAACATTTCCACAACTTTACACACAGTTACAAAACATTCAAACAAGACAAGGAACTCCTAGCTTAACATTTCTTCTGACTCATATCAGCTCTAGTATCGAAACTGAGTAAAATTCACTGACAATGCTTGTCTGGAAGAACTTACCTGATGTTAACCTGTACCTTTTACATTATCAGTGCTTTGATCAACTGGTTTTAATGATACTTTTTATAATTACACAGTATTGTCACATAGACAACCACATCCATGTTGTCTTATATAGTGAAAAATATAAAAAAATATGTATTTTACTTTCATTTCTATTGCTATGACAAAAATAGCATTACAAAATAAAAAACCAACTTTGGGAGCTGGGCAGTGGTAGTGCATACCATTAATCCCAGCACTTAGGACAAAGACACAGGTGGATCTCTTTCAGTAAGTGGCCAGCCAGACCTACATAGCCAGTTCCAGGACAGGCTCTAAAGCTACACAACGAAACCCTGTCTTGAACAGTGGAACCAGGATGTATTCCTGGTGCACAAAAGGACCTTGCAGACAAATCCCCATGGAGGGATACTCCCTTAACCTAGAGACAGGAGAGACGTCCCAGTCCCTACTTCAAATGACTTGACAGATTACATGACTCCGCCTGGATGGCATAGCCCTCCATGTGGAATGGGGGGAGGGGTTGGGAGGGAAAGGTGGTCAGGGTTCATGTGAGGGGGCAGAGAGGGTAAGAGGGATGGAGGGAGGGAGAGAGAGGGAACTGGGATCTACATGTAAAATAAAAATAATAATAAAAGAAACCCTGTCTTGAAAAACAAAACAAACAAAGCAATTCCGGGAAGAGAGGCTCTATTCACTATTCCTGACTGCAGTCCCTCATTATGGGTTGTTGAGGGATGCACAAACTTTGAACAGCTGTTAGCATCATATCCAGGGTCCAGGGCATAATTTCTCAGTTCATGTTTCCTACTCTTATGTAATTCAGGACCTGAACAGAGGGAATGGTGCTGCCCATAGTGGGCTGGGCCTTCTCCCATCAATTTACAGAATGAAGACAGTCCTTCACAGACAAGCTCATGTGAGGCAGGAGGTTCCTCTTGCCCCGCCAGGTCCCACCACCCTTCACAGCCCCAAAGGAGCACACTGAGATGCTATATTGGTTATAAAACTTTTGGCTGATGGCTAGGGCTTCTTATTGGCTACCTCTGTCTTAATTATTAACCCAATTCCGTTCATCTATGTAGTGCCACAAGGCTGTGGCTTACCCACAGTCCATCGTGTTACTCCTTCAGCTACATAGCATCTATTCATGGCCTCCTTCTCCCTACCTTTCCCAGAATTCTCATCTCCTAGCCACACCTAACTTTCAGCCTGGGCAATCAGTGTTTTCTTCATCAACCAATAAGAGAAGCATATATACAGAAGGATATCCCCCATCACTCATGGGCCCATCTAATCTAGACAGTCCTTCACTGAGACATTTCTCAGGAGACTCTACATTGTGCCAAGTTGACACTTAACACTATCCCAATAGAAAATAAATTTTAATCGCTTGGTCCCCTCCAAAGCACCAAGCCATCTGTCTTTCTCCTCTATGTTCTATAGACCCTAGCTCTCTTCCATGTCAGTCTACCCAACCTCTCTGTGCACAACTACAGGAGAGGCTCATTCAGCACAAAATGAGTAAAGGGGCTCATGGGCATTCCACTATGACTGTGCAGGCTTAGAACCTACTCTGCATGCCAGAAACAAGTCACTGACAAAGGTCTGTGTGTCTGTTTAGGCACTGTAATCTAACCTAACACCTTTGGAAGTTTAGTGGATCTGTCTGTAAGAGTATGTGTGGGGAACCCGGGGAGGCCAGCAGAGTTGTTAGATTCCTTCAGTCCAGAGCTACAATCGGTGGTTAAATTGCTTGACACAGGTGTTGGGAAACAAGCGCATCTTCTGCAAGAGCAGTGTGTGCATTCTTAACCATGGAGCCATCTCCCCAAGTCCCTCAGCTTGTCTGCAGTCCTTAGGTTTAGGCTTGAAATTTCCACCCTGGGACTCTTTCAATGGGCAGATGTTAGAGTTAATTACTTTCTGTGTGGTGTGATAGAATGCCGTGGTTACTGGACAGGGTTCCTACAAATCCCTCTTTCTGGTAAATGGGTAAGCACAGAAAAGATATGACGACTCAAGGATAAAGAATGTGGAACTGTCCAGGCACCCCATGGTGCAATCTAAGGCTAAGGAAAGAAAGCACAAAGGACACTGTCCTGGCCCCTTATGGGAGCAAACATCACACTCACTCCACTCCTACAAAGAGTCACAGCTACCCACACAGCCACCCTTTCCCACAGGAGACTGTCTGTCCTTTGCAGCTTGGGAATAAGCAGTCTGCCCTGTCAAGATTAGCCTCTAGTTTCTCTTCTACCTTCCTTCTCTCTATGCTGCCTCAGGAATCTAGAGTCTGTGCTACATGTGCGCCCCGTGGAGGCCAGAGGCTGTTGCTGCTATCTTCCACAGTTGCTCCCTGCCCCGTTTTGACACTGGAGCTCACCAAAATGGCCGACCCTGGAGCTTTAGGAGCCACCTATCTCCCCCCTCAGCTCTGGGAAACAGAGAGTGCACTGCTGTTGCAGGCATGGCAAGGACTCTTCCCCACCGAGGCGTTCCCCTCCTCCCGTTTCTCCCCAGCGCCCCTCCCCACCACGAGCACTTACACTAAGTTCTTCAGAACACAGTCTGGGTGGCACAAAGCCTTGCAGAGCAAGTGTATCCCTTTGTCCAAGCTGTTGCATGCGACATTAAGATGCGTCAGCTTCTTGCTGCTGATCAGGATGGAGGCAAAATTCTTGCAGTCATCGGGGGAAAGCTGGCAGCCTGCTACCCTGCAGGGAAAGAAGAATGTCATGTGGCTTCGCAACATGTCCCCTTGCTGTCCCCATGAAGGACCTTTCAGGACTCGACACCGTTCTTTAAAAAACAAAGATTATTGTTAATGTATGTGCGCGTCTCTCTACATGTATGTATGTGCGTCACACGTGTGCCTGGTACCCACAAGACCGGAAGGGGCTGTCACATTCCCTAGAAGTAGAATTACCAGTGGTTGTAAGCCACTCATTCAGTGTGGATGCAGACACTTAAACCTGGGTGTCACCATGAGCAGCAAGAACTCTTAACCACTGAGCATCTTTCCAACCCAGATTTTAAAAAGTACATTTATTTATTAGTGTGTGTGTGTGTGTGTCTATGACTTGAATGCTCTTGAGTTAAAAGTTGTAATGTACACTATAATGGTAAAGTGTGATGTGCTGTTTAAGCTTGCTGAAACTGGAGTCTGGGAGTGAGGATGGTTTGCCTACCCCAGGATTCAGCATGTTTATTGCAAACACCCTCTAAGACTCCTTGTCCAGGGAAGGACTGACCCTTCTGGATCTATAACAGAGAGCGGAGAGAGCACTCACACAGTGTAAAAGATCTGTGCTCCTGGGTATGGCTGACGTTAATCCAGTACTAACCAAGGTTATTATGACTACCCCATAACATGATAAAGGCCTGCCCTGCGGTAGGAAAGGAAGGCAGAAGGGGGAGGGGACTCAGGGTGGAGAGAATGCTCAATCATTCAAAAGCAAAAGCATGGCTATCATAGAACCATAGAGAACTCCAGTATCCAGGGCAGAAAATTAGCACGAAACTGTACACGACTAGATCTGTTATCTTCCATACTCATCCCCAACCCCTGTTCGGTCACTAGCCCCAAACAAGGACACCTCCAATACCACAGTCTTGCCCATCTGCGGATGTTATGTGTGAAGCACACGATATCCTCTTTAACCAAATTCACCCCACCAACAATATCTGAGATTTCTCTACATGTGCTCCATAGCCATAGGGTTTCTCATCTAGCTGACCGTCAGTCAGAACTGCAATTTTTCAGATCTCAACACCCGCCATGCACGGTTCAGCAAGCACCTATCTTCCAGCAAGTGGAGTCTTGCAACCAGCAAACGTACATTACAGCAAGCGAGAGTTCTCAGTTCTAAGGTATGTCAGAGCCCACAAAGGCGAACAGAAGCAATGGTGTCCTGGGTGGTTACACCTACCTAGGCCATTTCACATTCCACAGTCAGTTTAATTAAGCAATCTAAAGTAGATTACTTACTTTCTCTTTCATGTGTGAGCGTTTTGCCTGCAGCACACGCATACCTGGTGCCTGCAGAGGCCAGGAGAAGGCATCAGATGCCCTGGAACTAGAGTTACAGATGGCTGTGAGCCACCACGTGGGTGCTGAGAACTGAACCCCCCGGGTCCTCTGGAAGAGCAACAAGTGCTCAGAACAGCCCAGAGTTTAAAGCTTTTAAAACTTACATGTACTTATTTGTTTGTATGCGTGTGCACAGGACGCACATGGAGCAAAAGAGGAGAGCTCATGGAGGTCGGCTCTGTCCTTTCTCCATGCGGGTCCTGTGGACAGAACCCAGGTTTTAAGGTTGGCAGCGAGCGCCTTACCACATGGATCCATCCAACTGGCAGCTGTGATCAGTTTTTAAGGTGACTAAGTTTGCAGGTGACAGGTGGGTGCACAGATTTTAAACTGTAGTCCTCCTGTGATGGTTTTAAGTGTCAACTTGACACAATCCACAATCGCATCGAAAGGGAGTCTCCATGGGGGATTCCCTAGATGGGGATGACCTGTGGGCAATTTCTTGATGACATTAACTAAGGTGGCCAGACCTGTCCCCTGTGGGTGGCACCATTCCTCAGAAAGGAGGGTCCTGGACTGTGCATGAGCAGAGAAAGTTAGCTGACACGAGCGTGCACACAGGAATCTACTATTCTTTGTTCTTGACTGTGGACAGCATGTGGCTGTCTGCTCCGAGTTTCTACCACCCTGACCTCTGACAGTGCTGCCCCATGACCGGGAATTGTGGGGGATTTTTTGTTTTGTTTTTTTGTTTTTGTTTTTGTTTTTTTTAAATCACAGCAAGATGGAGCATAAACCTTAAATCACAGCAAGATGGATGCCTGTTTTGATGGGAGCCAATGAGCTAGGCGAACAGAAAACTTACAGGAGCTTTTCTATGTTACACTCGTCCTGGTTCAGCATGTCACACAACACTTTCACGTCACTGCGGGAGAGGGAAGTGAGGCTGAGGTCCAAGTGTCTCAGGCTCTGTTTCTGATTCAGCAGCTCAAAGAACAGGTGGTTGTCACACGAGAAGGACACGTTGTTTACCCTGCAGAACAATGAGATCCATCAGTTCCCACACAGCCCAAGCTCTAATCTTTGACCATGCCCTGTGTCCCTGTAGTGACTACTCTAATCCGTGACCCAGCCACACACCTCACTGGTTCTGAAACCAGTTGATTTTTCTCTTCCATGTGGAACTCTGAGAAATGTTTGGAGACAAGGCTGGCAGTCACAAGAGGGAGCTGCTAGCATCCAGTGAGAGGAGCTCACACAGGCTCTCATCCTACAATTTCCGGGACAGCCCTTGTGGAGATGGTCAGCGACAGACATCAGTGGTGCCAAGCTGGCCAGACTCCATGTTCTCTGAGAGGTGGTGGGGGCTTAGCCCGTTACTTCTGTGATGTGGCTGAATCGAGTCCACCTTTCACTTACTCTAATATATGAGGGGTACAGCTGGGATGCTGCAGATGAGTATACAACACTAAGAAGGCCGACTCATCCAGATAAGTGTCTTTCACCTGGAGGATCTGCATTTGCTGACAGCTTACAAGCACAGAGCACACATCTTGCCAACAGATGAGCAGCTTTTCCCTGAAAGAGAGGAGAAAGACGGATATTCCATTGTTGACATGTTAATTCAAGGGGCTGCAGAGATGGCTCATTTGTCCAGAGCCATCTGCTGTTCTCACAGAAGACCCTTGTTGAGTTCCCAGTAGCTCACAACCATCCACAACTCCAATTTCAGGGCAATGACACCCTCTCCTGGCCATCATGGGCACTGTACACACATGGTGTTCATGAACAAACATAGGCAAAACATTCCTACACACAAAATAAATACAAATTGATGGGAGACTTCATTCTGTAAATATGTTTCTCTTATTGGTCAATGAATAAAGCACTGTTAGCCAATAGGAAAGCAAGATAGGCAGGACTAAGAGGAGAGTCAAGATGGAGGACAGAGAGAGAAGAACTCTAGCCCCCTCTATCCGGTAAGATGAGACCACGTGGAAATACTTAGATTAATATAAATTGGGTAATACTTAAGACAGAGCTAGCAGATAAGAAACTAGTAACTGGCCAACAGCATTATATCTAATACAGCGTCTCTGTGTGTTATCTGGGGCTGGAGTGGTGGTGGGACAAGACCAGCTGGCAGGAAAAACAACACCTAACAGTAAATGAATGGTAAAACCCGCCAGTGGTTTTACAGTCTATTCATTTACCAAACAGTTAAGACAAGCCATTCACCGCACACAAATGCAGCTGTAAACCGATTCCCTGACCAGAGCAAGGGTACTTAAGTTCATGATCACAGTTCACAGCCAGACACAGCACTCTGGTTATTACAATTGAGTGTAGAGGTACAGCGTATATCTATTGGGTAAAGGCAGGAGGTGTTTCTGAGAATCCTACACATTGGGAACCAGGTTTGTGTGGTGTGGTGATATCTTGCTTGTACAAATAAAGCCTGCCTGAAGGTCAGAGAACGGAGCTTAACCACAGAGGTGTGGAGGTCTGTACAGGCAGACAGGAGGTGGGGTAGCTGGCAGAGACAGAATATAAGCAGGGAGAAATAGGAATCCTGTCGTCTGCTGAGACAGAAGGAGGTAAGGTGTGCTGTGGCTTGCCTCTTCTCTCTGATCTCTCTTCCCTCCATATCTGACTCTGAGATTTTATTATCTAGGCCAATTGAGATTGCAGCCTGGGACTTTCACACGCGCTCCCTGCTCTCCCGGAAGGACAGACAACCAGGATGGTTTGGAGGGGCTGAGGTTGAGAAGACCTATCTCACAGATAACCTTGCTGGTTTTAGAATGAGAAGGAGGCAGGATGCCGGAGACGCCGGGTTAAAAGCTAGAGCAAGCATCTCCTGGGCCCAGGCTTGGCTGTGGCTACTTGCTTGGTGAATAATCTAATACAATATACTTGATTTCTCTACTCACTTTCCTAATCTCTAACAGGATAATGAAATTTGCCTTCTAACAGTTCTTACTGTTAGACCCTGAGTTTCTGATCAGGCTGGGGTTACAGGCATGTACCACTATGTGATACCGGGGAACAAATCCAGGGCCTGTGCAATACTACAGGCAATACTAAGCCAGCTGAGCCACTTCCTCAGACCCTGTGTATACAAGACAATACACCTCTGTCACTCTATAAATACACACAACTCACAATTAACAGAAAAAGCCAGGCACTGTGGGACATGCCTTTAACCCCAGGACTCTGGATGCAGGCAGATGGATATCTGAGTTCCAGACTTGCCACAGCTACTTGTCTCATAAAATTAAAGGTTTATTTATTATGTATACAGTGTTCTGCCTGCACACATGCATACATGCTAGAGGGCACCACTTTTCATTGAAGATGGTAGTGAGCCACCATGTAGTTGCTGGGAATTGAACTCCGAACCTCAGAATGAGCAGCCAGTGCACTTACCCTCTGAGACATCTCACCAGGCCCCTAAATAGCATATATTTAAGAGAGTCAATCCAGAGCTCCAAATGGAGCCTGTTGGACTAGAAACAGATCAGTGGTTAATTTAAGAATTGCTTATGTTTCTTAAGACCCAACATCTTAAGGCAGGATAAAAATCACCTGTAATTAGCCCTCTCCTGGCCACTGAAGCCATTTCCACATATGTGTATACCAACAAGCAGTCATAGACACAAGAAATAAAAATAAATCTTTAAAAACTGGAAGCAACTCACAAATCTGAATTTTTGTGGGTTTTTTGCCTCTTAGAAGTGATATTTTGTTTTATATTTTTAAAAATATGTTCAATTGAAATCCAAATATATCACTTTTCCTCTCCCATTGACATGCCCAAAACTCTCAAATTGATATCCTTTTTTTAAATACAGATATGCACAACCATACATACACATATGTATATATGTACAAACGTATATACATATTTGTATATGTGTGCACACATATACATACATATGCATACATACATATATGTGCACACACAAATATACACATATACACACATATATAATCACATATATATTCATATACAGACATATATATATATATATATACACACACAACCTGCTGGGCCTGTACCTGTAGTTTGTGTGTATGTGCAATCTGGGCTGGACACTCAGCACTGGACAGCCAGTTAGGGCAAGTACTGAATCGGGATTCTATAGGAATCAAACTACACAGGGGAGGATTCCGAGGAGCCAGAGGAGAAAGACAGTGAATGGACTCACAGATAGCTGTGTTCTCGCTCTTCCTGCAGGATGTCTTGGGTTGAAAAGGATATCGTCTTCAGGGTAGAACAGTACTTCAAGCAGTAGGAGGCCACAATCAGGTCAGAATAATCCTTGGCCACAAACTTGATCTGCTGCAGGAAGCTCATCGTCTGCATGACAAAAGCCTCATCCTCCATCTCAAACAGACAGTAAAACAGCTTCATGTCATCGACTTGTTCCCGAAGCTCTTCGTCGGCACTGATCTTCTCCAGGCTCTCACACAACTTCTGCTTTACCTCCTGGGACAACTGGTAGCCAAAAAACATCTCTAGCTTCTCTTGTTCCGATTTGTGCAGAAGGCCAAAGATGAAACAGCCCACGAAAATCCACTGCACCCTGACTTTCTTTAGAAACGTGAGCAGCAGTGCCTCTATCCCCTGAACGTCTTTACTATGGTGGTCGCTGTGGCTCTTCACCAGGTAAAACATGGCGGCACAGAACTCCTGGACGGATGGGTGGAGGAACGTGTACATATTCTTGGAGTCCTTGCTCTTCAGAAATATCCTCATGTTCAGCAGTGTGGAGATGTCTGAGGTGACAATCCCATTTTTCCCAAGGTCCTCCTGGTTAAATGCAAATTTGTCAGTCCACATACCCTCGGCAGCCAGGGAACACAGGCCCAGAAATAGGTTTTGGCTTTTTTTACTTGGATTTTGAGCACTTTTGGGAATGAACAAATTGAGGATAAAAGTGGTGTACACAGAGGTGGCACGTCTGCAGATGGAGGCCGGGTCTCCTCCCTTCTCCATTTCATTTTTTAGACAAGTAGCCACCAGCCAGCAGAGCAAAGGGACCTGACATATATTGAACACCTGTTCATTTTCCCTTACCAACCTGAAGACTTCTTGGGCTCTGTTCTTGTCTTGGAACAAGCCTTCGAAATACATCTTCCTACTGCTCTCATCAAAGCCCATCATTATTTTCATTTCTGTGTAGTGTATCCTGTCCTCCAACTTATCAAAAGTCTCTGGGGTAGCAGTGATGAGGAGAGAGGATTCTGGGAGTATCTTCCTCCTGAGCAGACTGCTCAGCAGTATATTCACTGGCCGCTTCTCCATCCAATTATCACACAGCTCCAATTCCGGTTCGGCCAAATCACAATTCAGCGCTTCTAAGCTGTCAATGATGAACAGGAGCTTCTCGGGTTCGGATACTATCTCCACTATGGGAGCTGAGGGGCTGGGCCACTCTCTGGAGATCAGGTCAGCCAGGCTCGCTGTCTTCAATGGCTTTATGTCATGGCAGCACAGGGAGAAGATGTAGGAGAATTTGTTCTGAAACACCTGGCCATCTGACCAGGCCAGCGTTAGCTTGGCCATCATCAGTGTCTTGCCAATCCCTGATACTCCTCTCAGGACCACTGTGTGTGGCTGCTTCTCAGTTGCCTTTGGTGTGAAAAGCTGCTCGAAACGGATGCATTCATCCAGGGTGAATTTCTGCTTCAGGAACTCCTGAATTGGGATGTTGAACTTTCTGGACCAATCCTGGCTCAGCTTCTTCTTCAAATGAGCTTGATACATCTTTGAGTGTCCTGAGTCAGAGAACAGAAGGGAAGACAAAAATCCACAACACATCAAAGTTAATCATTCACCCACATATGATCTGACTTCGATATTTTAATTCTTAGGATGTAACCTTAAAAACATTTGTTTTTAATCATGGTAAGTGTGTGTGTGTGTGTGTGTGTGTGTGTGTGTGTTTGTGTTAGTGGGTTCTTGTGGAGGCCAAAGGTGTTAAATCTCCTCTCCCCCTGGGAGCTGGAGTTACAGTTTTCCATAAGCCACCTCACATGGGTACTGGGAATTGAACTCGGGTCCTCTGCAGGAGCAGGGCATGCTCCTAACCACTGAGTCGTTCCTTCAGCCAGCTTACCATGTATGTTTTTAGGGATCTGTAAGCTGTAGGCCCAGAACAATGTTGGTTAATGTGAGATTTTCTCTGGCCCTTGAGCACAGCTTGCCTTTGTGTGTGTAATGAATGTCACTGTTAAACTGTCACACGCTATTTCAGAGGCTGGCACCAGAGCTGGGGTGTCCCCTCTTCCCACTTCAGGCCCTAACAAGTCGAGTGCCTTCTGTGGGTTCCTGTCTGGGAACAGACTGACACCTAACTCTGCAACAGGAAGGGAAGAGAATAACAGAGCTCGAGGGTAAAAACACCACGCACTGGAGAACGGCCAGAACGTGAACCCTTCCTAGCAATTATGGTGACTGCTTAGCCCATGATATACAAGTACCTGGAGTAGAGGAAACTGAGCCTGAACTAGAACCAGGGCAAACTCAGCCATGGAGCGACAACTCATTGGGAACCCCAACTGACTCCAACTTTCCTAGCTGGGCGCTGGGTGCACAGAGAGCAGGGTTTGACCACATAACCTTCCTACCACTATTTGCTCTTTTCTAAATCAATTTTTTAAAAATTTATTTTACATACCAACCACAGCAATGCCTCCTTATTATCCTCCCATTCCTTCCCCCACCTCCTTCCTACCCCCCCCACCCACTCATCAGAAAGGTGCAGGCCTCCCATGGGGAGGGGGTCAACAGGGCATGGCCTATCAAGTTGAGGCAGGACCAAGCTCCTCCCCTCTGCATGCCATCAGAGGGCATTGGCTCCAAAAAGCCAGCTCAAGCATCAGGGACAGATCCTAGTCCCACTACTAGGAGCCCCACACACAGACCAAGATACACAATGTCACCATCCACGTGTAGAGGGTTAAGTTGGTCCCATGCAGGCTCCCCAGCTGTCAGTCCTGACAGCTTGGGTAAGCTGTCTCTCTGGGTTTCCCCCATCAAATCTCATACAATCCTTCCTCCCTCTCTTCAGCTGGACTCCAGGAGCTTGGCCCAGTGCTTGGCTGTGGATCTCTGCATCTGCTTCCATCAGTTACTGGATAAAGACTCTCTGATGACAATTACAGTAGTCACCAATCTGAGTACAGTAGATGGCTAATCCAGGGACCCACTCCACTACTGCTAGGAGTCTTAGCTGGGGGTCACCCTGTGGGTTCCTGGGAGTTTCCCTGGCACCAGGTTTCTCCCTAAACCCATTATGGCACCCTCTGTCATGGGATGGAGAGGGAGAGCAATTATATCTGCTCTTTCAACCTAGAGGCTTGCTTGAGAGGATGCTCCCTGCTCTGCTGCAGACTCTCCCTGATTGGGAGCTCCAGATGGCTGTCTTAAAGAGCCTTCCCAGTCTACTTGGATTGGATGTTTTATGATGATTTTTTTTTTTTTGTGATTTACCCACCGATCACTCTCCTATCAAGTACATATCTATCTATCTCCCTACCTACCCATCCCTCCACCTATCACCTATCTGTTACTTATTCTTTTACTTTGAATTGCTATGCACTTAATGTAGCCATTCAAAACTAAAAGCATGGCATCCTAGATAATCCTCTGGACCACAGAGGACCCTGTGCTGTGTTTTCCTGTTCTCACTGACAAGAGAAAGACCATCTAGATGCGGCAGACTGCATGGACCCCAATCTTGCAAACCTGTGCAAAATTCACAAGTGCACACTCTAAGAGCGTATAATTGCACGCAGTTGCCATGACATCAATTAACTGTAAAAACTGTATTGCTACCAATGGAAGGTCGACACAAAAACAATTATGTAATTTCATAACACAATTTAAAAAAAGCAGATACTACACACCGATATTAAAAGTTTAGAATAAGCCAGTCAGTGGTGGCACATGCCTTTAATCTCAGCACTTGGGAGGCAGAGGCATGCAGATCTTTCTGAGTTCGAGATCAGGCTGGTGTACAACAGTTAGTTCGAGGTCAGGCTCCAACATTACCCAGAGAAACCATGTCTGGAAAAACCATTTTTCAAAAAAGTAGCGTAACAGGAAATGAAGGAAATGAGGATACTAGGAAACACAATGGAGCCTAAAGCACACACAGACTAAAAGATAAAGATATACACAAGACTCGGTATGATGCTTTAACACATGGGGGGGGGGGCAAGAGATGGCTCAGTGGTTAAAACACCCAGAACACCTGGGTTCATTTCCAAGCATCCACAGGGAGACATTCACAGGACTGTCCAGTACCAGAAGACCTAAACACCCTCTTCTGCCTCCAGGGCAGAGTACACACATGGTACACATACATACATCAGCCTCTTCATCCTCCAGGGCAGAGTACACACATGGTACACATACATACATACATGCAGGCACTCTCACATACACGGAAGGCAGTTACTAGCTGTTCTCATACACTTTGATCCTAAATTAAAGATATTTAATATATAGAAAGTACAGCACAGAGACATTTTTAAAACAACAAACAAAAGACTGAGGGATAAAGAACCTGATGTAGCCACAGACCTAAGATGATCAGTGAACTGAATCCGTGATACCTTGCACCAGGATAGATATGCATGTGACTCTTCAGACCACCTCGTTATGGAGCATGGCTTTTTTCATTATGCACGTTTGCTTATTAAAGATCAAAACAGGCCCAGCCAGGGCAAAGACAGAGAACTCTGATTTCACACTGGATTACACAGTTGTACGAATACATGTGTGACAGGTGTGCGGGTGGGCAAGTGGGGGGAGGGGGCACAGCACCCATGCACGTGCAGACCAGAGGCAAACGTTGGGTGTCTTCTTCAGGTGCTGATGCATGTGGGTGCTTTTGTCTGCATACATGCCTGTGTACCACATGCATGCAGTGCCCTCAGGAGACAGATGAAGGTGGCATTGGACTCCCTGACCTTGGGTTATATGAATAGCTGTGATGCACCACCTAGGTTTTAGAAACTGAGCCCAGGTCAGATGAAAGAGTAGCAGGTGTTCTTAACCACTGAGCAATCTCTCCAGCCCAGCCTCCACCTAATTTTTTGAGACAAGATTTATTTTCTTTTTGCAGCTGGCTTCGAGCATGCCATGCTGAAGGGCCAGCTTGCTACAGCGCCTGGTTTCTATGTGGTTTCTGAAGTCAGATTCTCATGTTTCCACAGACAGAGCCGTCTTCCTGCACCCCCAGGGGTTTGCTATTGCTGCCAGCCCAAATCCAGAGCTACCACTTCACTCTAGAGGTAAGTCTCCAGTCTCCACGAAAGAGTAAATTACCATGTCCTCGGCGCAAGTTTAACAATCTAGGTAAGTTAGGGCATGAAACCTTCACACATTTGTCTACACAGACCAGAGCTGACACATCTACCCGAATACAATAACCTCCACCATACCTGCTTGTCCTGTTGAAGTTGGGCATAAGAAGAGTTATCAAAACTATGACAGGAACCTCACAGCAAAGAAGCCTGGACCAACTCACCAGCAATCTCTCTTGCTGCCCTCTCACTGAGATCCTTCCTGTCGATATTCTGGAAGATTCTGAAGGTCATATCCCAGGCTTTCTTCTCCTCATAATGCTTCACCAGCAAGTTGGCAAGGTCTTCTCGTGACGCCTTCTTCACCTCAGTCCAAGGAATCTGCTGCAACCCATACTGCACCATCTCCTGCTTGAGGGCCTCCTTGAACTTCATGAACTCCTTCTTGTTTAGCTCTTCCAGGTACCACATAAGGCCAAAATCGGAAAAGAAAGACGCCATCCTGTCTTAAGGAAGAACAGACCGGTCTTCGGAGAGACAACCACCAGGAGGAAGAAACAGATGAGATCTGTGGGGAAATCAGGCAAGCAGCGTGTTATTTTAAAAGATGGGGCTGGGGAGGTGGGTGAGCTGGGGAAGTGTTTGCTGAGCAACTTGAAGGACCTGCGTTTGCATCCTGGGCACTTGTGTGAGAAGCAGGCTGTGGTGGCACAGCTCTAAGTGCAGCACTGGGAAGGCAGAGAGAGGAGGAACCCTGGGGCCTGCTGGCCATCTGGTCTACCCAAATTCGGTAAGCTCCAGGTTTACTGAGGGCCTGGGTACCTACACAGGTGTGTTGGTCAGGGGAGGGGCGTTCACAGCTGCCTGTAACTTTGGCTACCGAGGATCTGGCACTCTCAACAGACTCTACAGGCATGACACACATGTGGTGCACACACATACACTCAGGCACATCCCTACACAGGGTTGGAGAGATGGCTCAGTGGTTAGCAACAATTGGCTGCTCTTCCAGAGGACGGGTACTCAATTCCCAGCACCACATGGTGGCTTACCATGAGGGCAGGGGTGTAGCTCAGGGGTTAAGAGTGCCTGCTGAAGATGCAGAGATCCACAGCCAAGCTGAGCACCTGGAGTCCTCCTGAAGTAGAGGAGGAGGGATTGCATGAGCCAGGGGGTCAAGGTCATGATGGAGGAACACACAGAGACAGCTGACCTGAGCCCAATAGAGCTCATGGACTCTGCACCAACAGGGAGCTCTCTTCATGGGACCGACCTAGGCTCTCTGCTTGTGTGTGACAGTTGTGTAGCTTCGTCTGTTTGTAAGACTCCTTACAGTGAGATCAGGGAGGGCGCTTAGCTTGCTTTTGGGAACCTGTCCCCTTGCTGGATTCCTTGTCCAGCCTTTATGCAAGGGGAGGAGATCGGTCCTGCCTCAACTTGATGTGGCATGCTTTGTTCAAGCCCATGGGAGGCCTGCCCTTTCTGAGTGGTGATGGAGGATGGATGGGGAGGAGGGTAGGTGGGGATGGGAGGTGAGCCTGGAGGAGAGGAGGGAGGGAAAACTTCAGTCTGTAGGTAAAATAAATGAAAACGTTAATTTAAAAAGAGAGTACCCGCTGACCCTGTCACTCCAGTTCTAAAGCACCCGGAACCTTCTTCTGGCCTCCATGGGCACCAGGCCGCACAGACAAAACACTCATACACATAAATAATAGAGAAGACAGAAGCTTTAAAGTATATAAAAATGCAAAAGAGGGAAAGGTTATGGATCAGGGGCAGAGTGTGCAGTCTGTGCAACGTTCTAGTCATCAGGGCCTCAAAACCAAACCCCAAACCAAACAACAAAAATAAACCCAAACCAAAAAGCCAAGTGAGGCCCAGCCACGCCGGACCATCCAGAGCCTGCTCTCATCTCAGTCTAGTTCTGGGTCTTAAACCCCCTGTGCCCCCTGGCACACTGGACCATCGGAGCCTGCCCTCCATTTCAATCTTGGCCCCCTATGTCCTCTGCTTGAGTCCTGGCCCCCCTATGCCCTCTGTGTGAGAACTCCAAGAGAGCTCAGATCATCCAGAGTTACTGACATGGAAGTCCTGACCACGTACACCCACTGAGAGAGGAGGGGGGAGGGAGGGAGGGAGGGAGGGAGGAGAGAGACCCCACCTGCACCCTCTGGAAGAAGGGATGGGAATACTGCAGTACAAGAACATATCCAACAATAGAAAGACAGTATGACACCACCAGAATCTAGGGACTCTCCACCAACAAGACATGAACATAGCAATGCAGATAAAGCAAAAATGACCTTAAAACAACTTTATCACAACTGAGAAAGAGAACTACAGAACAATACCCCTCATGAACACTGATGCAAACACACTCAATACTGGCAAATCGAATCAGAGAAAACATCAGAGAAATCATCCACCATGACCAGGTAGGCTTCATCCCAGGGATGCAGGGATAGTTCAACATACGAAAAATCTATCAATGTGATCTACCATATAAACAAACTGAAAAAGAACAATCATATGATCATCTCACTAGACGTTGAAAAAGCCTTTGACAAAATCGAACATGCTTTTATGATAAAGGTCTTGGAGAGATCAGGGATAATCCCAGCACTAGAGGGCAGAGGCTGGAGGATCTCCGAGTTTGAGGCAGGTCAGGGCTACAAAGTGAGACCCTGTCTCCAAATAATAAATAAATCAAGAAATCAATCAATAAATCAATAACAGGCAGGCATGAAATAAACAAAGGAAACGGGAATGATAAATGAATAAGACCCATCATCCAGCTACCGGAAACACATGCCCTGCAGGTATCAGGAGCAGAGGGCGTCACAATTCACAATCCAATCAAACGATGGTTTTTCTCCAACATACAGGTTCTCAAAACACAACAGCCCTCACATTCTTTTGGTTCCAGCTTTGGAGATCAGTCCCAGGGCCTTGAGCACGCCAGGCAAGCATCCTCAACACTAAGATCCTCACTCTTAAACCCCTGATGGAGAGGGTGAAGCCTAACTTTTATAACAGGTGAAACAAATTCTTCCTGAGGACTCTGGATTCCAACATGGTCATCAGTAAGCTGGGTCAAAACAGAGTCACCTTGGGCCACCAGGAACTTATTTTACACCCATACCCATGCACACAAACCCATACATATACTCACACAAAACACGCACTCCCACACACAGAGTAATGTGGTGAGCTAGCATACAACTGAGTGTCAGAGTACCAACTGTTTGAGGCAGAGGCTGTGTGCCAGACGTGTTAATATTTTGTGTAAAAACGCTTATGAAAACACACCTAAATATTTAAAACAAACTATAAACATTAAGTGTTTCTTTTTTCTTGTCTTTTTTTTTTTGAGTCAGAGTCTCACTATGTAGCCCTGACAGGACAGACAAACGGACAGACACACACACACACACACACACACACACACACACACACACACACACACAGTCTTCTGAGACAGGGTTTCCCTGCATAGCCCAGGCTGGCTTTGAACTCAGAGATCAGCCTGACTCTGCCTCCCTAGTGCTGGGATTAAAGGTGTGACCACCACTGCCAGGCCATCCTTCCTTCCCTTTTACCTCCACTATTTTATCTGGTTTTGGGTGCTGGGATCAAGGGCATACACCACAATGTCAGGCTAAAATAAGGTGTTTATGTTGGCCACGGTACGCTGCTACTGTTACTTTTCCTGACATTGATATACTGTGGTTCTGGAAACCAGCATTTTTATTTTCAGAACATAAACCCTGAAGTATTTGTGGTGAATATCTGAGGTAGACTTTCATGGGTCTCTGTAACAAAATGATGTAAACTAAGTGGTTTAAAACTACAGGAATTCGGTTATACTGCTTCTACATGTGGGTTGATTGGTATTGTGCTTGCTTGGTCCTGTCCCATCCCCAGCAACACAGAAAATGAGGTGTGGTGCTGCACACCTGTAATCCCAGGACCTGGAGGGGGATGCAGGGGGCTAGAAATTCTGGGTTGTACCTTGACTACAGTGTGATTTGGGGGCTAGCCCACAGTGTTTGACACCCTATCTAAAAAACAAACAAAGAAACAAACAAAAAAAAAACCCACAACTCCAACAACAACAAAACCTGTAAGAATTGTATTGCCTCCCTTGTGTGGGGCTTGAGCTTCCCAGTCAGGGTCAATGGGTTCACCCTCCCTCCCACAGGGAACCCCTGGTCTGTCTTCTGAGCTCCTGGTTAATTGAAAATTCATTATTTTCTCTTTCCTTGCAGCTCCTTAATTCCCATATCTGCCTTGATTATCGCATTGCGTTCTCCCCGTGGAGAGATGCAGTGAGTCTTCACATGGTACCCTTGGGACAGCTAATTGAACCCACAGCAACCCCCTTTTTTGGCCACTTTTTGAGGTATTAGAAGTCAGGTGTGTTTGTTTAGCCCAGGAGTTACAAGTCAACATTCCAGCTAACAGTAAAGGCCAGCTTTTATTGATATGCAAAGGCAGTCTTTGCACAAGTATTTGCATAGTAGCCAAAATAAAAGAAGGTGGGGGGGGGGGCACACGGACAAAAAACAACCCGAGTCTTTGAAGGATTAAACCGCGCAGATGGAACAAAGAGCTCTCTGCCCTGAGAACTCATGTGAACCAGTTAGACACACTGCCTCGGCTTCTCTATGGGTTCTCCTCGGCCTCGGCCTCACAGGCATGAATGCAAATAATATAAAACCTCCACCCTCTAAATTCTCAGGAATCCAACCTGCAGGATGCCTGCACACGCCATTAATTTTCTTTTTGTATCTGGGAGGCCTCTCGAGCACCCCCCCCCCAGCTCCTCCGAGATCCCCAGGCCGGCTAAACAACCTTCTCTACTTACTTCCAAGTCCGAAAAAGCTGGATTAAAGTCGGCAGGATTGGCTGTGGATCCAGCCGGAGCAAGTGCTGGAGGATTCGGTCTAGTAGCGAGTTTTGGTATTTTTTCTTTAAAAAAAAAAAAAGTTAAATATAAGTGCTGCAAAGTGTCTTGGCCACTCTGCTAAAGTATGACCAAATAGCCACGGTACAGGACGCCAACCGGTGCCGGGGCGGTCAGGGCATGAGGGAGTTTTGAAAAAGGAGAGAAAAAAAAAAAATCGAGGTGCGCGCGTGTGCGCGCACACACACACACCGCCTCAAACAGAAGAAAATAAATGCAAGCGAGAGAAAAGCTGCAGACAGAATTTGCTGACTCACTCACTGCCTCGGGGCTGCTGGGTTAGTCCTCGATATTCTGCAGCTGGAAATGGGCAGAAAATGTCTACGGTGCCATGTGATTGGCCAATGTGTCACTCCCTCTCATTGGTCCAGGGGGCTTTCGGCGGAAGGAAGGAGAGGGTGATTGATGTTGGATGCTGGGTGTGGCTCTGAGCCCTGGGTTGCTGGTGTTCTGCAGGGCTGTGGATCCTGAGTCCGGGTGTAGGTTCCCGGGTGCGCCCCGGATATGGAGTCCCCGGGACTCCTGACTGTCCAGAACCCCTCT